TATTGTACGCACATGGTTTTTTTTCTTTTCATCGTTTAAAAAGCATCGAAAAGAGAAAACACGTATTAAAAATATTATTCGCTATAAAAAAGTTATACTGTGAAAAATTATTCGCATTAAATAGAGAATAAATTCATATTAAATAGAGTAAACGTGTGTATTAATGTACTTTAGTATGATAAAAGTAATACAGGCGCAATCAATATCAATACAGTTCTATGCAGAGGATAAAAGAAGGGAAAAAGTATGATAAAATATGACGAAAATTTTTGCTTTCCAGCCTTCCCGCCAACAAAACATCTTTTGTAATATTAGCTTCTACTATCCGATCGTCGCGAAAACACGTGACGAATATATATAAAAATTCTACAAAGTGATGATCCGAATTAAAATAGATTTTATAAATTACGTGAACGATTTTCACAACGATCGAACTCTTCCCCCCCTCCCTTTTTTTTACACATGGCACCGCATCTCAAATTCTAGTACCGATCCTTATTTCGCTTAGAGTCGAAAAATTACATCTTAGTTCGTGGTATAACAGTTTTGCGATAGTACTACGATCAATACTAATTATATGTATAAGGCAAATCTAAAAATCTTCATATTTATTTGAATTTTCCTTTCGTTTGTCCGTGTGTATGTGTGTGTATACTTTATTCATTACTTTCTATCTTGGCTCTGTACATTTGATACATTGACATATATAACGAGATACAAACTATCTTGTTAGTACCTAATTAGCAATGTAACGGTTTGTAGGGGACGTGTCTCGCTAGCCTTTGGTCTACGACCAGGGCAAATAAACACATAAAAGTAATGGGAGGTCTTTGGACAGTACCTTTAAGCCCATAAAGTAATTACGAATATTACTTTATGGGACTGACCGGCCTAATAGGTGCACTTATCGTTAGCCACAGGTGTTCGGGAAGGAGATTATTTGCTTTGTATGGCATACAAAGCAAATTCTCTTAATCTTTTTCTGTTTCTAAAGCCGACTTTCAACTGTACTTTTCGCTAGACTTTTTCGAGATGCCTTTGTGGTGACATTCGACCGCAAAGGTTTAATTATTAGCGTTACATACACTTTATCTGCTTTTTCCTGGACGAAACTTATAAAAATAAACGATCGTATAAAATAGAACATACATGTTACTTAACGTCTTGACACGTTAAAATCAAATCAGCTAACTGTTGGGTGTTAATAAAGTAATCAGTATTTTCTAAACAATTCTATATATGTATATCACATTCTGTGGCAATATACACATGCGTACTACGTCGTAATGCGATCGTAGAGCCAATTAGGAATCGTTAATAATATTCACTTTTGCATAATTAAGAATAGCATTAATTAGGACGATACGTTAAACATAAAAAGGCCTTACAATAGGCATGTTAAATATCGATTATGTACACACTGTGAACATTTTGTTATCGGGCAGTACAGTATCTATAGATTAGGTGATTTTCTTAGAAACGCGAAGCCGACGTTAAAACTAGACCTTGTGTGATCGATTCTTTCCATTTTTATAGCAATTCAGCAAAAACGAGCTGAACGAACGAAGTTTGTTTTGTTCTTGTGTTTCATGATCTTCTTCGCCGTTCGTGTGACTATAAGAAAATATCTTTCGACGGGATAAAAAGCTTCGATTAATTTATCGATTGAACACACATACTTATGCATTATCTTTTTCTCACCGTACGTCATTCAACACGATATATACATCCTTTGAGCCTTAAGAAAATTTCCTACTAATATACAAGCATACCGGTTATACTAAAATCCCATAGAGTTGTATTCACAAACACAAATATTCAGAAAATTAACAAATAATCTCTTTTCTCCTGTATCGCGTTCCACTGTTGCTCTGTTTAAATATTACTATTGCACGTTTTATGTTTTCTTTCGAATTCTACACATTCAACATTGCTGCAACTTATTGTTACGTATACGTATGTACATCATATATCGAATATATTGTTAAACACAGTTAGGTTTTTTTCTTCCTTCTCTTCTTCTTTCTGTTTATAATTTCAGAAGATGGACATCTTATAGAACAGTTTTTTAGAAAGGAAATACGAGACATTGAAAATGATATAATTTTGAAAAAGAATGGTAAAAATTTCTCTATTCCAAAGAAGGTATTTATGACGATTCGATTTTCTACCTGCTGCACAAAAACACACAATAAGGAAAGTAGGTTACGCCGGGCCGTTTTTGAAATAAACAGAGTCCCATGTCATTTGAAATTTCATTTCTAAACCGTAGAGGCCTTTTTCGCAGGTAGTCCGAGTAAGTACACTTTATTCACAAATATCACTGGTGTACTCACTCTTTGTTAGAAACTTCTACACATAGTCTTGATTCCAGGGTGTTCCTCGTGAGCTGGATTTAGGTCAACAAAGCCTAGTTTACTATAAAATTCGTGTGATTGTTTGTCTGTACTTGACATCGTAGTATGTACACCAAACGAACCTACAGAAAAATTTTTCTTATGAGACGAATCGTTCCATAAATAATAATTAACAGAATATGCAAAAATCTATTCACCGTTAGCTCTTAAAGCAGCAAGAATACACGTAATTAATCTTTTAGGGACAGATTGGTCTGTAACACTTGGTAACACAGCACACATCAGCTTTGACGGATGTTGTCTGCACAATTGTTCAGGTACATCCACAACGAACGAATGGAAATATCGTATGGCATCCTACAAATCAATTCCAGACATTAATGTGTCATAAATTTTCTATTTTAAATATAAGTGATAAGATGGTTATTATAAATTATAAATAAATACCTGAACATTTTGTGGCAATTCATTAATATTGTTTTCCAATGGGTATTTCATTCGTAACTCAGGAATCCAAGAAATAGCTAATTTCTGATAATAAGACTTTACATTTAAGGCAGCCAGTGCATAACCTACTATCCCACTCTCATCTTCAACAACCATACATAATTCTGGACTTAAAGTGAGGAAACCCCCAACCAATCTGTCATTAAGAATTAAGCATTTGTAATTACTTATTATAACTATTATAACCGCAATTTTGGTAAAGAAAATATTCTTTTACCGATCTGCAACTGCAGATGATCCTACACAGCCACATATTTTATTGCACACATCATAAACTGCATCTTCATCACTTGCTAAATAAGGCCTAATTGTATAAATTTTACTACTGGGCACTTCTGGTGCTTTGTAAACGAATAAGTCATTACCACTATCCACTGGAATTAATCTCTATAAAAAAAAAAAAAAAATGATAATATTAATTTTCCTTTCCTCCTCTCTTTTTAGTTTAAAAAATATAATAAATAAATATACCTGTAGATCAGCCGTAAGTCCCCCACGGAATACCCATGGCTCTTGTTCTCCGCTCATGAAAGTTTCTTTCCAACCATTTGAGAACCCTATCCCAAGACACAGTACACAGTCTTAATATAAGAATGAAATACAAAACACTACATGCGCGCGATTTTGCAATTTGTAAAATTTATGAAATGGCCTCCACTGCTTTGACACTAATTTTGCTTAAAATTTATAACATGCATAAGTAGACTTCGATTAATGGCATTTCGACAGATTTCCTTATCTCGTTCACATTATAGTCAATCTTTGCATTAATTTAGAAAAATGGAAAGAACCGTTCTGAGAGATGGAAGAGTCCATTAATCGAAAATACAGAAACTACGGTGCACCATTTCGTTAATGAATAAAAACATACATAATTTGATCATATTTTGTTGACTATTCACGTGTCTACTGAACAATTTTTAAACAAAAAAAAAAAAAAAAAAAGAAAAAAAAAAGAGAAAGAAACTCATAAAATACTTTGGCAAACAGATCTCGTTACAAGGAGATTGACTTTTTAATTGCATTTTTAAAATTGCACATCGGTATTAATGTTGAACCAATTATGATGAAAATAAAATATAACATATAAAAGGATGAACACTTAAAGAATGTTGCACCAAAGTTCGCGCAATGATAAATTCCTGAGATAATGGAAAGGAAAATGGGATGGGATGGGGTCGAATGGTAATCCAGTTTGCCAAAATGCGCCTGAAATAAAACTCCTATTACTCCTGAAAAGAATACAGTTTCTGGAACTAAAAGAAATTAGTACAGGCAAGTTGGCAAAAGGAGGATGTACTACTAGTCATTCACAATTCATCAAAGATGCTTCTGATAAACATAATAAAAGCATAATATATAATGAACACTATCGGCTTTTGTAAATAATAAATACCGTTAAAAAGTTTCAAGAAATAAAAAGAAGCACAGAAGACACAGCTTTTATCGATTGTGTTTGACCAGTATAATTCTCAGGAAAAGCTCTCAATAGTTCATAAAATTGTCCTATCTTCGCCAATTTTGTAGAAATTTTAAATGGACTTACTTTATATGCAAAAATTATTATCATGGAAAATTCGTTGCAATGTTACTTTCAGAAATAAAAATAAGATTTGCATTACAATACAATTTTGAAGCATATTCATATTCATAATACACGGATAAACACTCAAATACAATGACAAAGATACAAATGCTGTGAGATAAAACAAAAATGAAATAATGTACATAGAAAATGTTTTATAATAGTAAAATTTCAAAAATTGTTTCGTGAGAATTTTTGCAAAATAAAAAAGTATGTCCATCACATACCAAACTACATTAAGTACTAGAAATATTTGTGTTGAATACACATAGATCCTTCAAGGCATCAGAACGCTGCTTCTATACGCAAATCTCTTGCTTATATTAATTGTAATAATAGTTTTTTCACAAAGCTTCAAACTCGAACTGAAATTCTGTGTATTTTGTGTATTTTCATTAGTTTGAAGCTTTGCTAATCGCGCGCTTTTTTGTTGAATTACTCAGACTGATGAATCGCATACATGTGTAGCTGCCCTGGGTAAACGTTGTCATCGTCGACGGGAATCTGCCAAACGCTATCAACAAGACAAAAAACACAGAAACGCACGTTAGTCAGTGAATTGAAGCTGTACTGTTCCTCATACACTTATATTGTTGGCAGAAACTATTCGCTCTATTATCTTTGTTCACTGGCATAGTACTTATTTACATACATATTACCATGTTGAAATGCATTGGTTCTAAACTTATGATAAATAAATGTAACAAATAAATTTCTGCCAAACATTATCTGTGAAAGAAAGTCAGTCAATATGTTAATAGCTGGCACAAGGTTACTTAAGACATAATATTTGTTCAGGTCCACATAGATGCTGTTAAATAGTTTCCCAGAAAGTGTTCGCTATGAAAAATCCTTTTGTCTAATATATTGCGCTAGAAGGTCACACCAATTCTCTTTGTTTTCATGATTTGTCTTACCATGATTTATATGATATTTTAATCACGAAGTGAAGAGTATTGTTCAAAAGAAATTAAGAAAAAAATGAGAAATGCTGTGACATTTTTTATTCGCTAATAGAACCATAAATAGGAAGCCGTTAGTCGACAAATAAGAAAATTATGTCCTAAAAAATTATATACAGCTAAAAGTAAAAGAATTCGCTTCATTTTGGTTTCAAATAAACTTATTACATTTGTGTCTTATTACATTTTTGTATAAGAATTAATGTTTGGTGCAATTGTATAACGCAGTTATAGTCCGTATCTATTGGAGACATGAATGTATTAGGCAACAAGAATAAGTTTAATTTATACATTTAATTTGTTCTGATTTTGACTTACGGCAACCTTTGCTTGTTTGTTTACGCGCGCTACGTGGTACATTTGATTCTAAAGCGCAGAAACAAATGTACAGATGCAATTCCATAGATATGCGACCTATGAAACATTTAGATTCCAAATATTACCGATGTATGTTCGTATCGTGATATATTTAAAAAGACAAGTTGGAAAGCAATTTTCGAATTTGGTGAATTCAGTTAGATTGAATTCTTCTCCATGTTTTTACACTGATATGAATATTTGTATGTGTGCACATTTGTATATGTAGTATTATTTGTATATATAGATTGTCACAATAATATTTAATATTTTACAAAAATGTTAAATGTCCATAAAATGGTATAATTTGTAATTAAAAATATTAATATTTATTCTTATTCTTTGGCAATTAAATGCCCAAAAAGTAAATAACTTATGGAAACATCAGTAACTTATGGAATCAGTAACTAATGTTCTTTGCGTGTTTTATGACTGTATAAATTGTCATTTTACAAGGAAGTGCAGTGTAACAAATAGTGTAACTAATTCATAAACTTAAAAGAAAGATATTTTCAAGTTGAATGTTTGGAAAAATGTTTAAGAAATAGTATGTGAACGGCTTTTTTTAGTAGATTAAAAAGATACATATTCCTACAAAATTAAAAATCTGTATTAGTTACAAAAATTGTAGCTTAATTTATACAAACACACCTTTCTTGTAAAAAGACAAAATGAGTGAATTAAAAAAACGGATAGAACATTACACTTACCAATACTCGAGACACTTTTGTTCTGAAATATAAGTATAGGTAATAAATTATAGTACTTTTGAGAAAAATTAATAACAGCACTCATCTGCAGTACAACAAATACAACTTATTGCGACATAATACGAAAACTAAAGAAAAATAAATCATAATTTTTGTAATTTTGATTGCAGGAATTTTCTTTTTATTTTAATCATTGTACCAGCATACTAGCATTTTGAATAAACTTTCTTTATTTATTTTAATGTAGCTTATATTTCTATACATTTATATTTAAAGGAATGAGTAATGGATAGATTAAGAAATATTTAAATAGAATTGAAAGAAAAATGTGGAATATTTTGGACGTTACTATGTATTTGAGTTGAAGCATTTCTCTTACTTTCTTTTGTCTCTTTTAAAGAAATACCGAAACATGATATACTGATGGATATATTGAACTTTTTAGAAGAATAAAATATAACTTACCCAACCATTTTACGTAACTGTTTAAGAGAGATACAACTCCTCGCATGTCCCACACATACGAATACAGATCATATAGCAACTCACGATTATTACAGTATGTAAGTCTCTGAAATAATCTATTTACGGCATTGCACATTTCGTTTAGCTTAGCCGCCCGTGTGTGCCATTCTTCGATCTAAAATTTTATTTAAATCATTTTGTTATCTATCTTAATCGTATATCTTAATCGTAATACATTGATAGTAGACTTGCATACATCAGATTCAGATGCAGCTTCATCCTCTTTTAATTTTCTCATGACGACGTGAGCATTACTTTTCAACCAGTTAAACTCTTGCAGTAGTTGAATGCCTTGACCGCCATGTTCAAATGGCAAATAAAAGAGATCGCATAACAGCGACAAGTCTTCTTGCGTCAATCGTTTGTCGACATCTATCGATTCTGAAGATTCTTGATCCGCATTATCGCCACTATCATGATTCTCACTGTCGTTTTCAACGATCATTTGAGTACCATTTACAACAGGGGAGGTGCCATCCATTTCAACTTGCATACTGCCAGAGGCTTCACTACATGTCTGCATAAGAAAATAAGCAATTATATTAGTTTCATAAATTTTACTGTGGTTCATCAAAAACTTACAGAAGTATTTTCTACCATAGCATCATCCTCTGTTTGAATCTTGACTGCATGTGCTGGGGAATTATTAGGTGTTGTGTTACAATCCATTGGTTCCATGGATGACAAAGTATTTGAACTTGGTACATTTTGCACGCTACTAGAAATTGATGCAATAATAGGTTCACTAACAACAGTTGTCTCAGATACCAAAGAATTCATGACAGGACCAGCAGAAGGTTGTACATAACTATCAGTAGTCGTCACGCTTGAGCAAACTTCAGCTAATGCTTGAAGATGGTTGGAATTATTTACTGGCGTAGGTGGTGGTGCAGGAACTGTAGTAGTAGTCGTCGTCGATGTGAGACTCATACATGTATTTACAGAAGGAATTATTGGAATCGGTACAGTTGGAGCAACACATGGTTGTGGTTTTGCTATAACACCCCATGCGGATCGTTTTTTGTTAAATTCCACTAACCAATCGCTAATGGCATTTTTTAAAGCATGCCGAGGATGGTATATGTTTGGAGACATTGTTGAAGGAACATCTTCACCAAGCACGCCATCTTCCGTTTCAGTCTCTAACTTTATGTCAGCTGATACTGTATCATCTGCAAATGCAACAGAATGAAATAATGCAAATTTAATGTATTTTTTAAAATTAGAAACAACTTTCTACTTACTTAAACTTAAATCTCTTTTTCCATCAATGTTACACCTACTCCACTGAGCCAATGTATGAATTGCTATAAAATTTGCTCCGTATTCACAATTAGGGTTAGTTAAAACACCTCTGAGTTTGGGAATCAGATCGGGAGATCTACCAGAATATGGACCTAAGAATACACGCTTTTGATCATAATCATTAGCATGTAAATTGTCCCATATAACTGGCGGCCTTCTCAGGACTTCTGTAATCTCTTCAATGGATTCAACAGTGAGAAGTCTGGATATTACTTTAGGACCAGTCCACATTATATCAATTTCTTGGGCCAATTTACTGCCAAGTGTGTTAAGATATTCTGACGATGCCACATTTGGCATTGCCCGGGTTGCACAATATTGTGTTGGACACAGTAAAAATCTGGGTTGACCAAGATGTTGGAAAATATCATTTGTGACAGAAACCTACAAAACAGATCACTTTAACTACAAAGAAGAGACTTTTAGTCTTATAATTATTGTATTGATTAAAGCATTTGAAACACACTTGTGCATGAGCAAAAGATTGAAATACTTCTTTATCTGCTTCACTCATTTCTGGTTCTATATCGTCAAACAATAATGCAAATGCAGTGCAACCAAATTGGCTAACTTGTTCCAACTTTCTTTTCAGTACACTAACTTCCTTAGTACTCGAATATGTGATATCCAATCCTGGTGATAACGCATAATAAAACGTAATACCGCATTCTCTTGCTGCTGTTATAAGTCCTGTTAAATGTTCCGCCTCTTCCACCGTGTACAAGTCTCTCCAGTATGCTCTGTGTTTGTAATCATCTTTCGGAGCATACAAATACGAATCCATTCCCCATTTCTTTAATCTGTAAATTTAAACAGAGACGAATGAAGACTGTATCTTTTGCGCAAGAAAATTGAAAATGAACAAAAATCAATGTAAAACACTTGCTTTTGAAATAAATCCTTTCTTTGTTCTGTGGTCCAAGGTCGTCCATAAAATCCTGAAATATCAAAAATAATATGTTTTATGCAAATAGACTATGCCACTATGACGAACAGCACATTCCTCCCTCCCACGTAAAGTCATCGCGAACGATGACCAAATACGTATGTATATGTTTTACACTGTACGACAACAAACCGTCCACGTACCTTCGACAACACCACAGATGAAATTGCCGTTTTTTGTATTCAAATTTGCGGCCCCATTTGTCTCCGCCATTGCGGATCACAAGAGGCACGTTTGTTTAGTATAGAGCTACAAAAATGGCTAAAGAACTAGTCCGCTGCGAAATGCTGTCGCCTATTCGAAAGAACGCAAAGCGAAGCCGTTGCAAGTGCTGTGTTTCTCGCAACACGATTCTGTTGCACGATCGTCACGATAGCATCACTCGTTTTGTTGAGAAGAAAAAAAAAAAAGAAACTTTGCTCGGAACCGTGCAATTCCGATGGGACAAAAACTGTCTCTAGTGTTTCTGACAGACTGCACCCGCTGTCCTGATCGATACTGAACGATTTCTCGATCCATCGACTCTACGCAGTACGATTAACGGAAGGCTTCATTGGACTGTGGCGACATCTGAAATTTAACCCGGCGATGTACTTTCGAACGTTGGACCGCACTCGGCGCCGCTCTGTGAAATTATTTCCAAGAATATTCAATTTCATTGCATAATGATCTTCAATGGCAGATAAGAACGACGATAAAATAACCGGTAATGATAAAATAATTGTATTTTTATCGCATGAAAGAAGCATTACAATCTATAAATGAATAACCTCATTGTCAGTGTTGTTCTGTAAAGTTATTCCAAAAATATTCAATTTCATTATGCCATAATCTTCAGTCGCAAATAAGAACGGCGATAAAATAATTGGTAATAATAAAATATAATTATACGTATCTTTATTGCATGAAGGAAGCATTATGATCCATATATAACCTCAGGCTGATTTAACTACGATTTAGATACAACTGTTGTACAAGACAAACGTTCATTTTAAAGCAAACATTTGCAGATGAATAAAGATCAAAGGTCATGCATATCTTTATTAATTAAGTTAATATTCTTTATTACAGTTGGAAAATTTAAGAGACTAGAAGAAAGTTCCAACGCTCACAAGAAGATGTCGTGACGGTTACTTTTTACGTTGTTGCGATTGAATTGTTTCGAATGCCATGTCGTTATGATTTCGAAATTTAGAAGGACACGAATATCAGAATAGGGTAAGCAAATTCGCAATTGTACTTTTTTTAAATTGC